ATTAGATATGGTGTCATCCACAAACATAAATACGACTGCAGTCCTCACCCGTTTTCTCCTCTTCTCCTCTCGCTGTGTATTTTTTAGGTGACGTGTCTGTCCTGTAAGCACAAGTCTAACACAGTTGAGCCATTCTGGGATTTATCGTTGGAGTTTCCAGAGCGATACCACAGCATAGGCAAAGGCTCAGGCTCCACAGCTTACCAGCGCAGCTGCACCCTCACAGAGATGCTGTCCAAGTTTACGGAGATGGAGGCTCTTGAAGGCAGCATATATGCCTGCAACCACTGCAACAGTTAGTACAATGTTTAACACAACGCAATGCAAAGTCAGCGGGTTTTGGAGTTGGATCAATTCATTCGGGATGCCAGCCCACAATTTAACATAAAGGCATTAGATTTTAAAATCAGATTTGTTTTCTCATTCAGTGTAACATACACATTTTATAAAAAATAATTTCTGACAAATGCCTTTCTTAATAATGTTCTGTTCCACATACAAAAAAAACTGTACTTTAGTGCACACAGCAATTTTATTTTATGACAATGACTTTTAAATAATTAAATGTATAAACAGAACTGGGATTTGTATTGAAATTGCCTTGAAGATGTCATTTCAAATTCAGTTTTAAGAGGGAGTTAAAAATGGTCTTCTGCATTTTTAGAGGCAGCGCCTGCAGCAGTGGGCCAACGCTTCTCCTCTGAGCCGAGCAGGGACAGAGCGCAGTGACTCTGTGAAGTGAGGAGCGTTAGCCCACTGTTGACAGCACTGGAGGAGGCAGTGACTTCAAAACTAGGCTGGCAGCCTTTGAGGAAGCCACACAAAATGTTTTGTCTGTTTGCAAAGCTATATATATATAGTAAGAAAGTGTGTCACCTCTCTGCTGTAAAACAAAGCCTTGCATTAATAATTTGCATTTGCATTGATTTCTAGAATAACTTACCATTTCATTGTTTCACGGTTTGACAGAAAGAAGACGGAAGTCATCCCACAAACCCTTAGTTCTGTCAGAGGCATGTAAGCAGCTTCTGATCTACCGTTTACCTCAGGTTCTACGGCTGCACCTCAAACGCTTCAGGCAAGTTTCTCTACTGATTTCTTTACTCCTCATTGAATAAGCATTTATAACCGTTTGATAAACCCAGTCTTTTTTATTGTTGGTATGTTGTAGCTGAGAGCAAAGTGCTTAAGTACAGGAGCGTTAATATTTATCACGACGCTTGTGAGTCCTTGTGGCACTAACTAGTCCCTGTTTGTACGGCAGATGGTCGGGGCGGAACCATAGGGAGAAAATCGGCGTCCATGTGGCCTTTGACCAAGTTCTGAACATCAAACCATACTGCTGTACAGGCTCAGGTCACTCTGTCCACAGAGGAGGCTACACCTACGATCTGTCTGCTGTAGTTATGCATCATGGGAAAGGCTTCGGCTCAGGGCACTACACCGCATACTGCTATAATACAGAAGGAGGTGAGGAAAAGACTGGACTTGATTCAGACCAACCTATGAAGTCCTGTTCCGTTGCATATTTTAACTTTTTATTTTTCTTTGTCGTCCAGGTTTCTGGGTCCACTGTAATGACTCTGAGATGAAGGTTTGCAGTGTGGAAGAAGTGTGCAACACTCAGGCCTATATTCTCTTCTATACCCAGAGGTCTGCCTAGGTACCTCTCGCTGTGATGTCGACCTGTACGCGGCAACTAAAGGCTGCATTTATGAAAATGTTCTCTGATGTTTTCCCAGATGTCATTAAACAATCACTTTAAAATGATTTACTAAAAAAAGATGGCAATGAGGGCAGTAGGACAGTCACTATCATGAGTCAAGGTGAAAATTTTAGCAGCATAATCCGGATGAGAAAGATGATAATAATGGTATCTGTATAATGTGATGTTGCCAAGGAAAACAATAGGTGAATTTGATTTAAAAAAATTCTAATGGATGTCTTTGGATTATATAAAAAAAATCAAAATAAATCAAAAACCTTTTCATAAATGAGGCCACAGGTTTCCGAGCCTGTGGGACCAGCATATTGGTCAATGGCCTGAAGACTGTGGGAGCAGGTCCGACTCTGTCCTGCTGAACACAAAGATGTGTGTCCATGTTTTTAATAAAACAATCAGGCTCATGTCTGTTGAGTCTGGAACCAACCAGGCACTCTCCTGAGACAGCATTTTACATTCAAAGGCAACACAGATTATGGATTTTGGAGCATTTTATCACAATAATGTTGCTCATGTGCGTTTTATACATATGGAACTGTACATTTGATGCCAATACATTAAATATTATAAGAGGTACATCTTCCAACATCATTGTATAGTTCCACTTTGGATCTACAAACAGAACCGACTGAAGTCCAGACTCTGTGTTGCCTCCTGCTTTTTGATTATTGTAAAATGTCACTTCTGGAAACTTTTAATACTCATCCCTGTGTCATTTGTATTTCATCATGTCCTCTCCTCAAGTGTACTGCTATGACTGGATACTGTGTCCTGCGCTCTCAGTGAACAAGAATAGTTTTTGTTTTAGTTTATTTTGTAGTCATTCTATGTTTCACTTCCATAAAAGGAAGCAAAAAGTACGAGTTTCAGACACTTTTGATTGACGATGAGTGACGGAAAGCTGCACTTTTGAGGAGGGGCTAATATTGTTGGTCCTATCTTTGTGATTGTTCATCTTCTAGCTCCTGTATCTTCTTTAAATGGCAGCTCCCCCTGTGGTGTTAACGGTTAGACTAGTCTGAGCCCGGGTCGGAGACACTGCGCCTGTGTTTGAACTGCAGGAGAGAGAAAAAGTGAGTGAAGTGGGCAGACTGCGATACTGAAGAATGTGTTTTTGGGAGACTTGGGGTACCCATTTTGAGTTGAGCACCTGAAAGCAATATATTGTACATCTTGCATCTTGACAGGAAAGATAAAATCAGGAATTCTTCTGCTTGTTATACAATGTTTTTTTTCTACTCTGCTGTTTCTATCAAGGTCTTTAGAATTTGCTAGGTAATCAAGAAAAACTGTTGTGTTTGATACGAGTCAAATGCAAAATACATTTGTGAACTCTTATGTAAAAGTTGGAACAATCTAATGACGATGAATGTCTTACTTTTTAGTGGTCAGGTGTGGCCATGCCACTGGCTCTGATCCCCTTGAGTTCTGTCTTGTACTGTAAGAATACCTGTCATAAATGTAATGGTCATATGGGTTTTGCCTGACAGTAATTATTAAAAAGACAAAGCAAATTTGAATGTTGTATTCATTCGAGAGCAACCTTTTTATAAATGTATTAAAAGGCAGAGGAGGATTCAGGATGATGTAGCTAAACCACCACAGTGCCTGCAACATCTCCGGTAATAGCAGCATTATAGGAGGGTACGTACTGTATGTGTTCAGTGTACATTAATGGAGTCTGGAAAAATGTGTTTGCAATCATATTCACTCATTCAGCATTATAACAGAAATAGATACAGTGAAGTACAGCTGATATAATCCACAGATTTAGCAGATGGCTACACGTCCGATCTTAATTCTGCTTCTCTAATGCTTCCTTAAAGATTTGCAACCAAGAATAAATGTAATCTGGTCCAGGCAAAGAGGCTGCTGATGAGAGGGCATTAAATGTAAATAATCTCTGAAGATTTTTTCTCTTCTTAGCAGTGAACTGCTTCCCGATCCCATTTTTCTCACTGATGTAGCATGGTGAGTTTATTCTGTCGCATAAACGTTACAGTTTTTCAATAAATAAAAAATCAAGTCCTGAATGCAAATGATTTAAATATCTGGAAAGTCCAACATCAACCACAATGTTTTGTTTGCCAGATTTTATTAATTCTGTCAGTGAACTATGAGTTTTACCGACTTTATGACTCTACTTTTAAAATAGCTTAGCATTATAGCTAACTGCTGTATAACTGTCCTCAAAAGTTCTGTCAGGACTAAATACTAAAGCACATGATGGCTGCGTTCATACTGAGATATGAAACACAGTAATATAACTTTTCATTTTAAATCTGATCTGTTATAATATAAAATATAATATAAAGCATTTCGTGTTTCAAAGAGCAGATCCTAAACAGCTGATCACGCTGTAAAATCAGCAGCTTCATTTATTTTAAATATTAAGTGTGAAAGTGATAAAAAGTTCAGATTTTAAACTATTATTATTAATTCAGCACCACTGTCTAATAAGAAACAGTTTAAGAAGGGTTTATAAGTTGTAACTGATGGCTTTATTAGTGGTAAAGAAATCATTTACTAATACTTCAGAGAGTAGCAATAAGACATTAATGAAAACTAATGTTGGGTTGCCAGGTTGTAAAAAATCCTTTTGACTGGTGTTTGTTCTCTCTATTATTTAATCCTGTGGTTATGGATGTTGGTAATCATTTAATAAATACTTAATAAGTTGTTAAATACATTTTGGTCCCGATCCTTTGCAGCTCTTTTATTTAAAAGGTAAATGGTCAAACCATCAGTCAAAGGGATTTTTTACAAAAGTTGCTCTTATTAATGTATTAAAACAGATTTATATTGCTTTAGAACATATTTTATAAATTATTAATAATAAAGCCGCTAGTTAAAACATATAAACACATATAAAGGGTCCCTTATTATAAAGTTGGTGTCAGTATTACAATATCTTGTGTGATGGAAGATGTTGCTCTCTGAACCAGTCTAAAAGCATTTCCATGAAGAAGTTCAACCTTAGCAAAAGGATGATGAAGACATATTCAAGGTCAGCCTAATATATGAAATCATTTATTTCTTACATTGTTTAATAAAACAGCAATAATTATTTTTTGCAAACTGGATATAAACTTTGATACAATTTGACATGCCAGTTAATTTGACACTGTGGATAGTAGCAGTTCTACAATAGTGATTATGAAATAGCATTTATGGACAAAACAGATTTTACGTAGTTGAATTATTAAGGTGAACTTGTTGCAGATATCAGCTTTTTTTTCATTCTTTCTTTTTTTAAAACAGTTCATTCGACTTCAAGAAATAGACAGAAAAGATAGAAATGCATCTAAAAGCACTGCTTCAACACCAGAACGGGATATGAAACAAACCAGGAATGTTGAGATAAAACATATCTGCACTGTATTTCTGACAACAAAATGGCAGTTATAGAAGATTCATTTTGTCATTAATGAAATGTTAACTCATGCCAGCTAGATGCATCTTAGTGCACATATGAGGACATGCATGAGCACATAACATTCATGAAAAAAACCTTTTCCTCCCACATATACTATAGCTTCAACATGAAGGTTACAGTGAACATGATCAGCATTTTAAAAGTCATTATAAGTTGTTCTAGACTTTGTAATTCATGTATCATAAATAATTAGAAAAAGACGATCCAAAGATTTTCTTGCAAGAAACTCAGTTTTTTGGTGACAGCAATGCAATCGATGATTGGTCATCAACACCAATAGGTTTGGGTGAGATGAGATAATGTCTTTTGTCGCTTGTCAAGCAAAGAGTTTCTGTTCTTTCTCACTGTAAACTCCTCTCAACACTCTCCGCCAGCAGGTTCCTGTCCTCTCCTCCAACCAAAAGTGCTATGTTTTGTCCTCAGATGTTCCACCTTTACACTCAAAGGGAACAAGTGCAGTGACTCTCTTTCTATTTCAGAGTTGAAAACCAGCCTCTCTGCTTTGGTCCCCTCTGGAGTCTCTCCCGTGCAGGGAGCTCAGCTGGGCAGCAGCCACGGCTCCACAAAGTCCCACTGCTTCCACAGGATGAACAGCAGCAAGGTCAGCAGGACGGTGGCGGCCACCCGGGCTCGGGTCTTCATCAGCGGGGTGATGAAGTTGGCCAAGGTGGAGACGAAGACCAACAGCACGGCCATGAGGGCCAGGATGACGTTGATGAGTTTGCCCAGCAGAGCTCGAGCATTGGCGTTCTCCACTCCCTCCAGCTGGACGACCTGCTGCTGTTGCTGCTGCAGCTCCAGCTTGGTGATGCGGGTCAGGCACGACTCAACAGCCTCCTGTATGTACGAACACACACACACAGAAACCACAGTGGGCTTTTTTAAAGGCCCTGAAAACGTATTTTCTCAATAAGCTTTTTACTATGAGCGGCAGGGTCCGACATAAACATACATTTTCTGTATGAGTTACAACAGTTTTGGTTAATTCACATGAGAGGTTTCTGTATTTGTGTTTTCTTGAAGTAGCCTAACCCTAACCCTAACCCTTGGTTGGAACAGTGTGATGTCACGTACTACAGTGCACCAATCAGGAGTTAGAAACTCCAGTGACTGTGGGTGAGTTGTTCGGCATTTTAATCTCAATTAAAAACAACTAAAGAGGTTTTGTTTTTGTTTTGTAAGTATTTTT